TGTCTCTCGGAACCATGAACATTCTTCCCTAGAACAGAAAATCTTCACAACAATTTCTCCCCACCATTTGTCTTGCCAAACTTTTCCAAACTGACCTTTGCCGATGCTTTCTTGTAACACGATGGTCCTGACAATTCTTCTCTGAACCAGCAGCAGTAAACCCTTCGTCCCAGGTAGCAGCATCACCGCAGTGACCAACATGATGAGGAGGAGCTGGCAACGTGGAGCAGTAGCCACTGCTTCCATGGTCCCACCACTGTTTGTGGCTCAGTCCAGGCCAAAGCTTCTCCCAAGCCTCCTAGGCCGGCTCAAACTCGGGATCCTACTGCCTCTGTCTCCTTCAGCAAATCCTACTGGTGTGCGCCACCACAACCGGCTGAGTGTAGCTTGGGCCTGAGCTGGGGCTCACAAGGCCACAGGCAAACAGCTTTTTCATGAATTCGTAACACGAACGTTGGGCGCCAGATGTAGCAGGAATCTTAAAAGTTCTTATTAATAAAATCAAACCCGAGGCCAGTTATCGGGGTCAATGCTGGTAGATCAGAGAGACAGAACAACCCATAGCTATCTCACCTCGCCGGATCCTCAGCTGGTCCTGTTTCCTCAGACTGGAAGCCTCTGTGTCCTCATCCCAATGGCTCTCAGCTGAACTGTGTTGCTCCAAAGCCTGAAAGCTTAACCAGCCCCTTGCTTAACCAGCCAAATCTCTCTCACTATGTTTTTTAAAGGTCCTTCCATTAAAAAATTTATTTTATATGTATGTATGTATGCATGTATGTATGTATACCACATGTATGCAGGTACCTGCAAAAATTAGAATTGGAGTTAACAGAGGCAGTTGTGAACCATTGTGTGGGTACTGGGTACTGAACTCATGTCCTCTGCAAGAGCAGCAATTGCTGTTAACCACTGAACCTCTAGCCCCTAGGTCTTTCCATCTTAACACTGCTGTGCTGAGGACCAAGCCTCTGAAATATAAACCCTTGGTGGGGAAACCACATTCAAACCATAGCATGGAAATCCTTGGAAGGAGAGTAAAAATAAACTAACCTGTAGACCACAGTTGAGAGGGTAGCTTAAGGTTCACATAATATTTATACTGGTATCATGTGATGCTTAAACTATATATAATGTTACATATGTTCAATAAGGCAAGAGTACTGAGTTATAAAGAGAAACTGATTAGAAGGGATTTTATTCTTCATAACAATACCTTTTAAAGTTTTTATGGATAGTTTACTAATTTACGTTTTAAATTGTTTTATATTTTCTTACTACAAAGAGTACTGTAGATGTAAACATTTTTTTTTTTTTTTTTTATAAAAAAGAGTTCCAGAGATAGGTTGCCAAGACAGGTTATTCAAAATAAGATTTCCCCCCTCTTTGGTGGTGGTAGGAACAGAACCCAGGGCCTTGTGGATCTCAATGGAAAATGGTCTGTCATTGAAGTATATATCCCACCTTAGTTAAGGATTTTAAAATTCACAAGCCTGATGACCTGAGTTCAGAGTTTGATCCCTAGGATCCATGATGGAAGAAGAGACCTGACTCTTGCAAGTGGTCCTCTGTCCTCACATCTCTAGTCACATGTATACATATCTCTCACATAAGTGTGTGCACACCCATACCCCACACACGGTGGGGGTAGAGGAAATTTACTGTATGTTTAGAAAGATACAGTTGAAGTCCTTGCTACACTATACCTAAACAGTTGTTTTGCATTATTGGTATTAGCTTATTTTTCCTTTCTCCCCATAGACTAGGTAGTCATAAAATGACACCTGTCCCAAATGTTTCTGTATTTGTGTCCAGTATTAAAAAGAGAAAGGCTTTAATTATAAGATGTTTGCAGTCATTCCATGTGACAGTCTGTTGTAGTTGCTATGGAGTTTTGCATCTGTTGAGTGCTTCCTAGACTACTGTGCTTATAATTGCAGCATTGTTAGCATAGAAGAAACCCGCGTTCTTGGGAATGCTATGTATGGGGTGTGATTTCCCTTACAGCTACTGAAATTTAAAGTGAAAAGTATGTAAATTAAAACTCAAACTTGTGGTTCAGATATTAAATGGGTAGGAGCCCACAAAAATAAACAAACAAGAAAACCCTCGTAAATTTGAGTTGAGCATCCCTGATCTGAAAACCCAAAATTTTTTGTTAGTTGACATAACAAGACTGTGAGTTGAAAATTTCAACCTGGTCCATGTGACAGGCTATAGTCAAAATTTAACTGCACTAAAAATATTATATAAATAATGCTCAGGTTATATGTGTAAGGTGAGTATGAAACACAAATGACTCTTGAGTTTAGGTCTGTGTCCCAGCAACAAGATTTCTTACTGTTACCATGTAAATAATTCGAAAATTTGAGAAATGTCCCAAGTATGGAACCCATCTAATACCTGATGACTTAACTGTAAGGTTATAAGTCATATGCATTATCTGACTTTTTATCGCCTGTGTCTCCTTGTTTTCCCAATAGTACATCTGGGAGCAACTGGCCTCTGGTTTCAAGCACAAGAACTTTCGATCTCGAGAGGGTGTGTGTCTGTGTCTGATTGAAACCTTGAACATGTAAGTTCTGTGATTACTGTAACAGCTTGCTTGTTTTAGTCATTTCTCAGGTTTTTTTTTTTTTTTTTTTTTCACAAAGTGAAGGAAGACTGGAAATAAAGTGTAAGTAGTTATTAATTGATCTCCCAAACAAAAATACAATCTTTAATGCTACTTTTGTATCTGTAAGCTACGTCATGTTAATTTTTAAATTTGTCTCTTTTTTCTTTAGCCATGCAGAATTGGTGGTTATAGAACTGTTAGTGCTAATACGTTTGAATCTTTTTTCTGTTAGGATCTGCTTCAGAACTTTTGAACTCAGTGGTGTGTCACATGTTGAAGCCATTTCCCCATATCCCTTTTCCCAGTTGTCTCTAGGCACTGGGGGTGACTGCTAAATTACGTACCTTTCAGGACTCTGTCAGGGCTTGTACAGTGCACCTAGTAGCAGCAGACAGAGTCTTGATAGGAGAGGTATCACAGGACTATGATACAGGTGGAAGAAATGTGAGTGGAGGCTTTGGTTCTTATTCTAGAATAATTTTCCAGATTGTGCAATATGGTAGGTAGTGCGTAGTCTCTCTTGACTCTTGCCCTGGTGTGGCTTCTTCTTTTTTCTCTGCTCTGGGTCCTTCCTGCTAGCAAGTGCTGGTTGTGGCATTCAGTCAGCACCCTTTCTGAGTTTTAGCTCTCTTGTTGTTTGCATTCAACCTAGACTCTAGACTATTAGTAAATGTAAAGATGGCTTAAGTTACTTGTTTTATTTTACTGTGTATTGAGATCCAGTGTCATTTAAAAAAAATACTATTTCAAAAGTACATGCTCATGTTTTCTTAAGTAATTGATAGGCTGCCAGGGTTGTCAAACTACTGTTGAGTATTTTGTCCTTTTGGATCATGTGTCAATTTGATACAAGCTATAGTTATCTAAAAGGAGGGAACCTCAGTTGAGAAATGCCCCCATAAGATCCAGCTGTAAAGCATTTTCTTAGTCAATGATTGATAGGTAAAGGCTCAGCCCATTTAGGTGGTGCCATCCCTGGCTGGTTGTCCTTGGTTCTACAAGAAAGCAGACTGAACAAGCCATGAGTGTAAGCCAGTAGGCAGCATTCCTCCATGGCCTCTACATCAGCTCCTGCCTCTAGGTTCCTGCCCTGCTTGAATTCCTGTCCTGACTTCCTTCAGTGATGGATGTGAAGCCAAATAAACTGTTTCCTCCCCAACTTGCTTTTAGTTGTTGTGTTTCATCACAGCAATAGTTACCCTTACTAGGACTGCATCAGTCACACTTATCCAGGTTGGCACTTTTTGCTGCTTCACATCACTTTGCTTGATACTTGTCTTTAATGATGTATGTCCATGCCCTTCATCAAAGTTGTCAGGAGAGAGTTAAAGAGGAAGGCATGGTGTTGGTGGCATACACCTTTTAGTCTCAGCACTTGAGAGGCACAGGCAGGTGGATCTCTGAATTTGAGGCCAGCCTGGTCTACAGAGTAAGTTCCAGGACAGCCAGGGCTACACAGAAACTCTATCATGTTGTGGAATCTTATTTTAAGGTGTGTTACTTTTGTTTATGTTGTATCAGTTTAACTCTGTGAAGCTGTGTTACTTTGCATATCTAAAACACCTGATGGTCTAATAAAGAACTGAATGACCTATAGTGAGGCAGGAGAGAAACAGGCAGGGCTGTCAGTCAGAGAGGATAAATAGAAGGGGAAATCTGGGAGGAAAGAAGAAGTAGCCAAAGAAGAAGGAGGACTCCAGGGGCCATCCACCCAGCTACACAACCAGCCACAGAGTAAGAATAAGATTTACAGAAGAAATAAGAGTAAGAGAACGGGAAAAGCCCAGAGGCAAAGGTAGATGGGGATAATTGAAGTTAAGGAGAGCTGACAAGAAACAAGCCAAGCTAAGACTGGACAGTAATTTTTTTGTTTTGTTTTGTTTTGTTTTGTTTTGTTTTTCGAGATAGGGTTTCTCTGTGTAGCTTTGGAGCCTGTCCTGGAACTCGCTCTATAAACCAGGCTGGCCTTGAACTCACAGAGATCCACCTGTGCCTCCTGGGATTAAAGGTGTTTGCCACCACCACCCGGCTAGAGGCTTATTCTTAACTATTAATGTCCAAGCCAGGCAGTGGTGGTGCATGCCTTTAATCCCAGGACTCGGGTGGACCTCTGAGTTTGAGGCCAGCCTGGTCTATAGAGCGAGTTCCAGGACAGGCTCCAAAGCTACACAGAGAAACCTTGTCTCAGAAAAAAAAGAAGGAAGGAAGGAAGGAAGGAAGGAAGGAAGGAAGGAAGGAAG